GTGAATACTGCTTTACTATTGGCTGATCCATTAACCCATAACGTCAACATAAAATAGAAGTCTAAAATTGACCAAACTTTTTCAACTATTTATTTACTTTGTTCATTCCAATTTATTGTTTAGTCGGAGAAAAAATTTTTTTTTTACAAATTATGTACTCATTTATCAATAATAGAAAGCATAAAACTTTTCATTCCAGACCTCAAAAATGCATGGAATTTTGAGATGCGTCATTTTGCATTTTGAGCACAGCGGGCTACATCGACAGGAAACCGTCAATAGAACTGCATGTACATGTTTTTGAAAGAAAATTATATAAAATAGAAGCATTTGATGACACGCTAGTTTAGCCGTTAGAACCCAAGGCAGCCAACAAAAGAAGGAAGATGTTTGCAACTTGCCTAGTATTTTATCATGCTTTCTCAGTTGGAGGAGGAAAACAAGACTTCTGTTTTTTATTACCTTTATCACCAGAAGAACTCCATCTTTTTATAGAATAATCATGAAGTGCTTTTAAAAGTTGCAGWTTTTCAGAGYTTTTGCCACGACTGTTATACCAAACTACCAAACAATATTAAAGTTCACTTTTTCGGAATTCCGAAATAAATAGTTCGGATGCCTCTTCGATTTGCGATAAATCCCTATCAAAATTATTAAAGAACTTGCTCMTAATTATCTAATGAAGGTTTTGCTGATTCCGGCATCTTAAAGTGTTAAAACATTTGCGAGGGGACTACAAATTCCTATCAGGTTGGGTTTACTGTCCAACAATAGTTATGCAATCTGAGCTTTCGGATCAAACAATGTTAATATCATTTTCATATCTGCTTGCACTAGAGGTTTTTAGGGTTTATTTTATTTTGATTATATGCAATAAACCTTTCTTTTGGAATAAAATCAACATTCCTTCTAGAAGTCAAATGCATTCACCATATCATTCCAGACGGAGAAACCAAAAATATCCAAATATACCAACCGATATAACTCAGGTTTGAATTCARTATAGTTTAACCCGCTTTATATTATTTGATAAGTTTACTGAGAAATTCCTTGTGCTTATTAAATTATTTTACCATTACTAAAATTATGTATTGATATTGCGTTGAGGTGAAACAAGTTATGCGTTATAAAAGCGGAAAATATAAGTATTAGCAGTATTCTATAAATTACATGTATTACTCCTTGGTTGTATATTAAAATAATGTGTTAACTTGCAGTTTACAGAAATAATAATAAATATTTGATATCATTAGCAATTGATATGGTAAACTTTACCAAATTCTAGTTGATTGATATGTTATTTCTTACCGTTCAGTCAGTGTCAGCGACCATTAGACACGACGACGCATTCCAATTGGACTGAGAATACTTTGTTTGACTGAAATTTAAAGAACGGCTCATTTACAAACCTCAAACTCAATAACAACAGACTGTGTGTCCACCTTTCGTTCCGACCCAGAAACTTTGTATCAGCTTCGTTTGTGAATACTGCTTTCCTATAGGCTGATCCATTAAACCATAACGTCAAAATAAAATATAAGTCTAAAATTGACCAAACGTTTTTAACTATTTATTTACTTTGTTTGTTCACTTTTCATTGTTTAATCGGAGAAACTAGAAACTAGACAAATTA